TATATATATATATATATATATATTTATATTTATATATATTAATCGATCAAGTTGAATTCAATATGGTCATACCAGAATGCTCCAAATTTCCAGATTCAGGGCGAGGAAGAATAGTCAATTCATCTTCGTCATCACTTTTAATGTCGATTACGATTCCTCTACTTCCACTATATAACGCCGTGTTATTCCGCTTTTTAGATCGACCTATTTGTGATTTTGCCATATCACCTATTCAAAAAAATTTTTATTGAAGTTGAGGACCAGACATATAAAAATAATATTATCAGTTTATATGAATAACATCAATAAATAAATCTAAACACGATGAATTATTTTTTTAAATTTTCACGCTGAATAGACATTTCAAAAAATAAAAATATCAACCAATAAATTTGTAACAAATGTACAAACGATATTCTTACGCAATTAAAATTGATTTATCAGTTATTATTAAATAATAAGCAATCCATTTATAAGATTATAAATTAATAAATCTATATTTTTGCAATTAAACGTTGAATATACTGTAACAACATACCATTTGTGACATCTAATAATGGTAGGCCATGAGGAGTATGCAACACACTCTGATATTGATAGGAAACATAGCCCGATCCATTATTTTCTTGTTGTGCAATAAAAGATGATCCATTAACAACAGATGACATCGTACAACCTGGAAAAATAAATATGAATTATATCATTAGTCAATAACTATATATTTGTATTAATATATTATTAAACTATATTAATTATATATAGTTAGCATTTTATTTTAAAAATTTAAAACTATTAATAAAATAATTAATATTTTTACAAAAAATTTCCGATTATAATAAAGCAAAATAATTACAGAAAGTAGTAATTTACATTAGTACAAATTAATGTATTTGAAATTGATGCAAACATGTTAACAAATTTTCAAAATGATTGATTTGGTTCAACTTTTTTTGTTATATAAGTTTTAAACATTTCAAATTATATAATTGATAAATTTATAATTGTTTTCAGTATTACAATAGTAAAAACTTATTACAGTAATATTAACATTTTAAAAGTAGATAATAATGTTTTTATGCTTAATTTCTATTTAAATAATATTTGTTTTATAGTAATGAAAAATTATATATAAATATTTTTCTATTAATAAAGTATTTTAAGTCTCAATTGAAAGGGAGTAGGCCAAGTTCTATTTTTCCAGTCATACAGATAAAGAGTTAGCCCAATACACTTACCTACATTTTAATTCGACGGGCTAAAAAAATCGAACAAAAAATTGCACGAATAAGATTGAAAGGTCTGATATATAAAGTTGGTAGAGTAATTTGGAAGTTTCACTCTTTCCATTTAGACGATTCATCTCATCCAAATCCTAAAATTTCGTTCAATTTTCCAAATCCTTTCAATCTAAAATTTTGAAAATAAAAACTGCGTTTGCTTTCTAAAAAAATGATATAATCATTCGTAGGGCTGCACAGATTTTGGATAACCGACCGAAACCGACCGAAACCGAAAATTCGGTTTCGACCGAAACCGAAACCGACAAATTGATTCGGTTATCGGTTTTAAGTTTATTAATATTTCGGTTTTCGGTTCGGTTTGGTTACAATCCGTCGGTTCACCGAACCGAACCGAAAACCGATATTATATAAGTTAAATATGGCCCAGTATATATTACATTATTGATTGGAATTAATAGGGCAGGCCCAATTTATTACTCCACAAAGCACAGGCCCAATTTATTTCTCCAATTCCATGAAATATGATACCAATTATCCAATTCCAATCTTTCATAAATACAGAATTTCACACTCACTCCCGTCGCTCATCGTCTCTTCCACCACGAAAAATACCCTACCTATCACTGCAACTTCTCCGCCCGTCCACCGCACCGCACAAAATCACCCGCTCCATCTCCGGTTGCTCGGTGTCGGCGCTTTGAAGTCTAAAATCCCAAATCGTCGGAATTTTGAAATCCCAAATCGCCTCGCTAGTCGGTGGTTCCTGCTCCCGCACACACTCCACCCGGCAGGCCGTCGGAACGCTCGTAATTTTCTTTTCTGGCTTTGAATCTCTCATTCTTCTTTGGGCCTGTGAGTCGTGATTCGTTGTAGGGGCTGCACCCACCCAATTTGAGCTCATGTTTTTTTTAGGTTAATTTTTATGCCTATGATTTGAGCTGAATGGTTGTGGCTTATGGGTTTCCAAATTGTTGTGAAATGCTGAACCAATTTTGATGTAATTTTTTTTTTTTTGTCATTTCTTCATTTTTCGGTTCGGTTCTGACCGGTTGTGCAGCCCTAATCATTCGTGATATTTTTATACAGATCGAGACAGCTAGTTTCTGGGTCCTGGGTACATCAGTCGGGTCGTTTGATGATGGAGGCGGAGTGGATGGCTGAGAGGGAGATTGTGGGGAAGGCAATGCGGTGGGCGGTGGTGTGGAAGATGTGGGAGCCAAATCGGTGGGAGGCGGTGTGGCGGACAGATCTGGCAGAGAAGGTGGTTGTGCGGTGGGTGGAGGTGTGGACGATGTGGGTGGGATGCAAAGCGGTGGGTGGAGAGGCGCGGCGTGCAAGGCGTTGTGGTGGGTGGAGAATGATAAGAAAGGAGAATGATAAGAAAGGTAATATCTTGATTTAAAGTTTTTATTTTTAGCTTTGGCGATTCAATTTTCGATTTCAGTTTAATTTAGCTTTTTGTGTTTTTAGAACGGTTCGATTATATGTTACAACAAAATCGAGTTTGTATTTGTTGGTACTAATCAATTTTTTTATGCATTTTCATATTATATTACTGAGACGGCAACTAATTCCGAGGACCGAAGAACATTCGAAGAATATGGATGGAGTCGAAGAGCAGATTTGACTCCAGATCCAATGCGTGAATCCACCATCGCAACAATGTTACCGGGTGAAGTAAGGTAAAAAAACCGTAAAGTTTTTTATATACCTATTATTTTCGAAGATGACCCTTGTGTATTTCTTTGATTTTGCTACAGTTACGGCCTCTACAGCTACTGGCTGTTGTGTGATGGCTTTTATCCTTCTAAGCTCTGTTGCTGGGTAAGTTTTTTGGTCGATTTAATTTTGGTACTTAGTGTTGATTTTGGTGCTATTCAGTTGTTTTGTTTTAGTGAACAGGAAGCTTTTTCTTTGTTTTTTTTTTTTTTGGTTATCTGCTGAAGCTTTGCTGCTTGGAGTTAGGTCTATTATCTACTGAGTTTTTGTACTTAGAAAATAAAAAAAAAAAAAAGAGGTATTGGTGTGTTATTTTCAGATGGTAGTTTTGGGGTCTGTTGAAAATTGTTGCAATTTAGTGACAATGTGACCATATATAGCTTTAGACATCTGAAGAAAAGAAAGGCAGAGAAGCTCAGGCCTCTCAGAGAAATTTTGAAAATTTTTCTATCTTTCGATGTGTCGTTTGCTTGATTATATATTAATAGATAGCCATTCTTCATGGGGAAAGGAAATCTGATGCTTACAGTCAGTGGAGATTTCTCTGACTAATAAAAATTGCAAAAATGGATGATAAAATTTTTCAGTAGCTGTTATGTCCCATGGTTATTTACTTACACTTAATTGTGTGTGGAATTTTAATTAAAATCAAGAAATTTTGTGGGTTGCTAGCTCGTAATTGTCTACAAAATCCGTTATTGACAATTTCCAGTATTTCATATTTGAAACAGAGCTGGATTTTTGTTCTATTTAGTGAAAAGAGCATATAAATGCCTGGACTTCTGTGCAACCCTTTATATAGTCCACCTTTTCATTTGCATTATGTATGGAGGTTGGCCCTGTTCGATGACTTGGTGGGTTGTGAACATAACAGGTCTAGCTGTGATGGCACTATTAAGTGAACGTCTTTGCATGAAACGGGAAAGGAGAAAGATCCCCATATCAAGATACCGATCAAGTAAGCTCTTTTCTATTCTAACTGATACGTTTTGGATGAAGATTTTTTTTTTTTTTTTTTTTT